TGAAGTTTGGAGCTTTTGCAAGAGAACATTTACTAATTAGCACAAAACACAAAGTACAGCTGAGGCCGATAGGACTGCTGTTAGCTTTGCAGATATTTAGTCATAAATCAGAAGTTTTACGAGTTGTTGAATGTGAAACTAGAGTTATTGCAGTTCATGCTGAGGTGAGAGTCTAAAGCATGAGAAGCTTGTAAGTTGCTGTTGAGACATGAAACCACAAACATCAGCCCACTGATGGTGCTAAAAAAACCAAACATCACCAGAGTCCCTGTACCAGAGTCACGAATGTAGTTAGTAACTGAAGTTCATTTTTATGAAGCTTTTAGGGTAGATGTCACAAAGACAAGGCAATAGAATCACAGTTTAAAGTGTGCTCATCAAGTTAATACAGGAACTATTTTAAATAAAGATAGAAGCCTGATTGTTATTTCCCATCATGCCATTGATTCAGAATGCGCAATATTGAAAATGTACAGCGGAAATCTGAAAAAAATGAAAGACTTCGTGAAAAGAAATTAAAAATGGTATCTGATGATTAAAATAAGTTTCAAGCAAATCAGAGATGGTCGAGCAGAAGGCTGCTGATGATTTGAGATAGAAGAACCCGTATTGCATTATAGAGAAACCCAACAAATCCAACAATGCTGTTGGAGCAAATACTGAGGCAACAGAAAGAAGAAGAAAAAAACTTTTTTTTTTAAGATTAATAAACCTCCAGCAGAACCAGGTTTAGGGAGGGCAGCAGTCTGCCTCGACCAGTTGGGGTGAGGATGAAGGAATGAAATAGAAAAGGAAAGCACAGTGAAACAGACACACAATGATCAAAACTCGTCATAAATGAGGGAATGAGTCATAGAGGCCAAAACTGTTTTTGTAACCGGCTGTAAACATGTTTAACTCTGCTGTAAAGTTGGACATTTTAACATGGAGATCTATGAGGTTTGGCTACAGCCCCAAGTGGCCATTTAAGGAACTGCAGATTTTAGCACCTCTCTGTTTTGCAACCCCAGAGTTTCCTGCCTGTGCCGTCCATTGAGCCAGATTGCTAACAAGGTTAAAAACACTGACAACATATTCTACACAAAAACATTTACTTTATGTTTCTAATGCTCCACTGCAGCCTCCTGTACCGATTATCAGATCTGTGTCAGATCCTCTCCTACCTCGTAATTAACGTGAGGACACTGCTGCAGATTAGCACATGGCAAATATGTAATTATGCATCATCCACCATGTTGAAATACGATTAGGCTCAGGCAGGGATGGTTGGTGTGAGCGTGTGTGTGAGAGTGTGTGTGAGAGTGTGTGTGTGAGTGTGTGTGTGTGTGTGTGTGAGGCAGAGATAGCGATGGACTGGATGTGAGTTTGTCTCTACGTGTACGACTGAAGGTGCACAATAACGCTGCCGACTGAAAGAACCTCATGAGGGCGGAGGAAAGCAGAGAGCAAAAAGATAAGAGCTGAAAGGGATGTTGTGTGTCCAGGGTTAAAGCAGCACACGTGGATGCATCAGGTGCTGTTTCAATAGCAGAAAGGATAGTTTTTCCCCTCATTAAAACTCCAGACATGTGGCTCTAAAATCCCCCCCTTGATATCCGAACTAGATCTCACATTGATCACTCAGAGAAATCTCATCCTCCAGCTGATTAAACACCAGCGCAATCTCCTAGAATCCATCTGAACACGAGTTTCTTTTTAAGGAATATTGTTTTTCATGCGGTTTGTTTTGAAATCGCACACCGGCGGAACAAAAGAGGAGGAAGCACAAGAGGGGAGAGGCTGAAGAGCGGCGAGCGCGCACGGCAACATCTGACTGCTCTAGTTGAGCAGAATGGAGAGGCCTCATTAAATTTTAATTGCAGCACGATGTTGAGTGCATCGCCATCTACATCAAGATGCATGTGACCTTCTTTTTTCTCGTCTCACTTCCAGCGAACGAGCGTGCACATCTCATCCGTCCTCTTGTCAGCTAAGCAGCGTGTGATTAAATTAAAAGGGAAAAAAAAGGCACATTTTCACTGTTTAGATTTTCAAAATAACAAACAGAAGATTCTGCGTTTTAACTCAAGACAGGCAGTAACAATACTGATCACACTTCTGAAGAATAAAAACCTGAGTCACTCGGTTCCTCACAGTTCCAGGTTGATGTGAGAAAAGAGAAAAAAAACAGGAGCCACATGAGCAGGAAGCGGCCGGTTCTGTTCGTGCTGCAGGAGATCTGTGTGTGTTTATCGTCTTCCTGTCCTGGATGGGTGTTGCATTACAAGGTACTGTCTCCAAACTGCCAGAATCAATTAACATGAATAATGAATGCTACTGTCGCTGTTGGTCTTGAGTGCTCATTTTGTCTCTGCTCCCATTGTTCCCGCACATGCAGAGCAGCTTCATTCCACAGCAGCTACAAGGAGATAATTCTTTTATAGATTAAAAAAAAAAACGCAGGCCCCAGAGTTGTTTCTTTATGAGGTTAAAGGCTCCACATGTCCTCAACAAGCCTCAACACCACAAAACCCTGCACTCCGGCAGCACCGCGGCAGCCCAAAGCCCAACTGCCGCGGCTCTTAAAAAGGATCTAATTCACGTGGAGGAGGGAAAGTGAGCCGCTAAATCAAGAAACATCGATGGCATTACTCGGCCCACTAAGATCACTTTACACACTCCAGCACCCTCAGCTGGAGAGCTCGCTCGTATTAGCTCGGTCAACAGGCACTAACCGCTGGTCACCGAGCTCCAGCAGACACCTGGCTCTTTACCGCTCGCTCCCAAATCATGATTTATTGCCCAGTGAGACCAAAAAAATACAGAAGACGTTTATTTAATCTGTTACTGACACGGATTGTCTAAAAAAAACATTCAACCAGTTCACTACGTCAAATGGAGAAACTGGTACATCCAGGTGTTACGGAGATTCAAAGCAAATCATTTATGTATATGATGCAATAAGTGATTAATCTAAGAATGAAGAGATCAAGGTTTTCTCTCTATAGACACAGAACTGCTTTGAGATTCAGAATCTAGAGTCAAATAGTTTCTGATAATTGGTGAGTTGAAATATGGGAAAAAAACTATAGAGGCCATCATGAAAAGTCCCATCTTTGTTCACATATTAAGAAAAATTGATAACGTAGAAGTCAACCAGTGATATTTTATGAACCACACGTAGCTGCATGTCACAATAACACAAAACGAAACACATAAAACACTTCAGAATATGAAATGCTTGACAAAACAGTTCTGTTCTTGGAACTTTCAGAACTGATTGAGACCACAAAAACAAAAATATAGTTCCATAGCTTAATTTACATAGACCATACAAAATGGTTCTCCAAACATCATTATAATATAAATATAAATAAATATATATGAATAATTTTTAACTCGAGCTTTCATTTGTGGGCTCCACTTTGTAGGCTGCAGAAACAGAGTGAAATATTACCTATCATGGAATTCCTGTATTGGTGGTTCTCGCAGTAAGAAGGTCGCCGGTTCACGTCCTGGTGTGGGCACCCAGGATCTTTCTGCATGGAGTTTGCATGTTCTCCCCGTGCAGCGTGGGTTCTCTCCGGGTTCTCCGGCTTCCTCCCACACAGTCCAAAAACATGCTGAGGTTAATTGGTGATTCTAAATTGTCCGTAGGTGTGAATGTGCGTGTGCTTGGTTGTCTGTCAGAATCACAGCTTCCTAGTTTTATTATATTAAAATATGTATTGAACATTCAAACTAATTAGTTGAGGCATTGTACTGCTTTGATTTCGTGTCTGTGCAGGTTATAGCTACACTGACCTATTAGCATTTCCAATATTGAGTTTTATGTCAATGAGCAATTAACAGGTTGGTGATTAATTGGACCCATTAACAGGCTAAACTAAGAACTTCCAGCAGAACAAAATGCGTGATACTAAGCATAAAAGAGGAGCTTTGTTCAGTCACAAACAACTCTGCTCCTATTTGTGGGCAACAACTTCATGAAAAGATGATTATATTCTGTATATCTAGCAGCTCAAACTACTCTTTTTCACCTATGTTCACATCATTTTGGTGCTGGGATGTAGTGTTGTTTTAGCAGCTTTACATCATATCTGTTAATGAGCCTTTGCAGCTGCTGTTTTCATTTCACACATACATAAACACACCTGCCTGGATTCTGCATCTAAAAAAAAAAAATCAGGCTGCAGCTCACAGAAGCTGCCAAAAATGTTCCAGCAGAGTAAAACTTTGCCTGTAATCAGGTCTGCTCAGGTTTTTCTGTTGAATCTGCACAGAGCTGCTGGTAGAGGAGTTAATTAGAACCGACTACTAAGTAACATGATGAGAAAGATTTAATGCTGAATCCTGTGTGTGTGGGTTCCTCTGTTAGAGGATGCTGCTGACATAAAACGCTGCCGTGCGGGGAAAAGAGGAAGAGCTTGATTACTTCTGCAGCACTTCTTTCCTACATCGCGATCAAAACAGCTTTGTCTCGATAAAAGGCAGCGTTTCATGATCATCTGAGGACAACTGAAGCTGTGCTTTTAACAGTGACACAAAGCAGAACTGACGACTGAGGCTTTTTATCAGTGCTTCCTATTGTGGTTTCTGCACCTTTAACGAGTTAATTAACAGGACTCTCCACTGGTTCTACAAACTGCTGCAGATGCGGTTTCTTCTTAACAAATATCACCCTCTTGTGGTGCAGAAACTCCTTTACAAGCACATTTCCGGCAAGCTTCAGTGCGATTTTAGGAGGAAAACTTCAACTGACCCATATGACGTCCATCCATCCATTATCTATACACCGCTTAATCCTCACACATATGACTGGCAGAATTAAATTCACATTTATTTGTCTTTACTTTATGTCATTTTTTTCATTTCTTTAAATCTTTTGCCTGTAAAACACTTTGAACAACCTCTCTGAAGGATAAAACATAAATAATCTTGCTGTCTTTATAATCTGATGAAAAAGAATTTTGCGGTTATTTAACAGATTACACACAGATGTTTTCACCTATTCTGACTAATTAGACTCCTGTTGAGGATGAAAAAGGCCTTTTTGGTAACAGGTGGTACTAATAACATTATCCACGGATCTGTTGTATTCAAGTGTCCCGCTGAGCCACGAGCAGTTTTACTTAATGTGGTAATCTCACTACGATCAAGGGAACTTAGCATCCATTAAAAAAAAAAATCAAAACAAAGATATACAGTTTATATCTGTAAGAAAAAGCACAAACAGCTTCGAGATTAACGGGTTCAGAGTCGTGACAGCATGACAGGGGCAGCACAATTTCAGGACTCTGAAACAGCTGAAAGGAATTTTTTTCATTTGTATTTTTTACAGTTGTTTCTGTGACATGTCAAAATGTCTCCTAATTGGACTAAAAGGCTTCAGTCTGTCGACGCCCACACCAGCCTGAGAGGACGGCTGCTGTCAGACAGTCAAAGAAATTACATACTGTGTCTTTTCCTAAACGTTTTCTCTTGACCTTGATGGAAATCCAATCAAGGAAAGAAGCGAAGCCGAATTAACGAGGACACAGAATGACATAATTGTGGTGCTGTGAGAATCCTTACGCTGGACCGTGTGACCATGTGACGGGTGTTGTTGCCGTGGATGGTGCGTTGCTTTCAACTGCGGGACAAAGTCAGCTCCTCTCCCAGTGCAAAGGATGGAACAGCCTCTGATGAAAGAGAAAAGAATGAAGCACCTTTCTTTTGCATTTAGAGTCTTCAGAGTATTAAACCAGCTCCTATCATGGCTGCTACTTAGATACTTCCTGGTATTTTCATTCAGTTAGGAACATTTCTACACAAAAAAAAAATTAACTTTCAACTGGGCGGCTGTGGTTCAGGTGGTAGAGCAGGTTGTCCACTGATAGCAAGGTTGGCGGTTCGATCCCCCCACATGCCGAAGTGTCCTTGGGCAAGACACTGAACCCCAAATGGCTCCCAATGGCAGATTAGCGCCTTGCATGGCAGCTCTGTCGCCATTGGTGTATGAATGTGTGTGTGAATGAGAAACATTGTAAAGCGCTTTGAGTGCCGCAAAGGTAGAAGAGCGCTATATAAGTGCAGACCATTTACCAACTGCAACTGAGGTCAGCAAAACAAGGAAATGCCAAATGAAAAAAGTACATTGCACATATCTATATTATGTGGTTAGCACCGTTGCCTCGCAGCTAGTAGGTCCCGGTGAGGACACCCGGGATCTTTGCATGTTCTCCCCGTGCAGGTTCTCCGGCTTCCTCCCACAGTCCAAAAACATGTTGAGGTTAATTGGTGATTCTAAATTGTCTGTAGGTGTGAATGTGAGTGTGCTTGGTTGTCTGTCTCTAAGTGTAGCCCTGTGATAGACTGGTGACCTGTCCAGGGTGTCCCCTGCCTTCACCCTAAGTCAGCTGGGATAGACTCCAGCCCCCCATGACCCTAATGAGGATTTAGCGGTGTATAGATAATGGATGGATGTTACTGCAGTAACCTGATCAATGACTGCTTCATGTATCTACCAACAATAACTAAACATATTATCTGCATAGCCTCCATTGTAAAGAAGTAAAATATATCTCCATCAACATGTATCCATCTGTGTTCATAACAAACAAGATGACAATAATTCCTCATTGAAGCTCCCAGAACACTGAGTCTCTAAGTGAATCCACCACCAGCCCCGATACCAATAGACTGAGCTGAAGTTAATTATCATGCCTGTTTCTCCACTTAAATACATTTCAGATCACTTGGATGCGGATGAGCCTCATATTTTGCCTGAAGCTTTAAAAATGACATCATAAATTTATTTTCTGACATAACAACAGCGATGGTGAATAAATTGATAAAACCAACAGAACAATAGCAGAAACTTGGAGTAATGCAGTTTTTAAAAAAAGCTTTTAATGTGTTCTTGAGTTGTTTAGTTTAAGCCAGACCGCTTTAACACGTGCCCTTACATCATCTGCTATACCAGACAGCACGATGAGGTGATCCGTCGGCCAACTACACATGAAGTAAATCTCAAGTCTGGAATCAGGTTTGTTTTTCTGGCAAGTTACCTGTGATGTTTACAATCCGGCGTTTATCATCCAGGGAAGTTTCTAAACTGCAGCCAGAAAACTCTGAGAAGAAATCTGTTCAAAAAATGAAGTTCTTCAGAAACTCTTTGCCAAGAAAAAACAATCATATTTGTGTTTTTTCTGCAATATACACACTCGTAGGAGAATAATTCTAATATTGGTAGTTGCTTTGAATTAATATTGTGTGTAATTTAAATCTAATTTCTGTGTTAGTTGATTGAAAACTGAAATCAGGTTGAATTAACTTAATGAAATTGGCTACTTGTTTTCCCACAATGATTGTATGATGAGTTCATTGTAACAATAAAAATGACTTGTGTTTGTAATTATGATAATTAAGTGCACAACACTTGTAGTAATACTAGTTCAAACAACTTGTGTTTATTCTACCAATGACATAAGTTTTAATGAAACCTTTGACTGCAGAGAAAAACCCAATTCCATGAACTCAGTGTATTTTTTGGGTTGAACATAATATTATTCATAAATCAAAACCATTTTTCAAAGTGGTGCACTGATTTTTTTTTTCTTTTTATTGTTGTTAAGTCCAAACTTTATTTTGTTTCAGAGAGCACACCAACTAATAAGCTCTGATATAAGTGTGTTATTTGGTAAACAAACATTCCTACTACTGATTCATTTTCAGTCTATAGCATAATTGTCAACACTGTAGTATAACTTCCTCCATCAAAATTATTATTTTGAAATGATTATTTATGTATTAATGTGTAAGTAGAATCTCACTGCAGTAATTGATATAACAAAACAATAATATGTGGGGAGTATCATTTGTGACTTGAATCGATGTATTAATCTGTAATTTTCATATAAACGTAGTGGATTATAAATAACATTACAGTCATGACTCGATAATCCAACCCTTAACAATCCTATCCGACAGGTTTTTAGGAAAAACAAACGGAACCCAATAAAAATAACCTTAACATACCGACAGCCTTGGATTCTGACTCCGACATGACATTTTATGTCACAAATAAGGATAACAGCGTATTATCTGACTGAACAATCCCACAGATTGGCTATGTTCAGACTGCAGGACTTAATGCTCCATTCAGATTTTTTTGTGAAATCCGATTTTTTTGCGAGTTCGTTCACATTTACAATTAAATACGACTTGTATGTGATCTGCTGTGTGAACTTCATACGACCCAAAAGTGTCCCACATGCGCAGAAGAGGACACGACGACGTCACACGCAGCGAGCATGCTCAGTGTTTACGGAAGAAAACATGGATGGTAAAGGTGGAGCATAAATACCACTCCGCCGGCTCCACCAATGGTGGAAACAGAAGTGAGACCACTAACTAAACTGGCATCAACAGCCAAGAACTGCCTATGCATTCTGGCCACTTCCACCCAACGCTCCAACGGAGTGGAAGTGCTGATATTCATCATTAATTGAGCCCAGAAAGTGCTATTGGGACCAGCCCTACTGGTTATTATAACAACTATGAACAATGAATATTTACAACAAATCACCCTTCAAGCATGAAGCCCTCCTTGTATCTCGACCTCCGTCTTAACAATCCGTCAGCCTTGCTATCCGACATGAAAGAAGGTTTTACATTTAGTGTCGGATTATCGAGTCACGACTGTATTTCCCACTAAAGTGCATTTTAAAACTCAAATATATGTACAAATTATTTGACAAAACACCACCACTCAATTTGTTGTTTTGCAGTAAGAGCCAAATAAAATGACACAGTACAGTATCACCTTATCATGTTAAATACTTACAAACTATACTGACTTTTAGGAGTTACGCATCATTTGTCTGTCAAACACTGTTAGCGGTTTAAACCCTCGGCAAATGTGCCAGGAAATGCTGACAATTCTATGCATTTCTGTCAATTCTGTATTACTTTTGGGGGAATTTTATATATATATATGGAGAGAGAGAGAGAGACAGAGAGAGAGATGTAGTGACCCCTGAGGTCATCTTGTATCTTGTGGGTGGTTCTAGTTCATCTCTTGGTTCTCTGAGTGGCTGTTTGAGGTCATCACTTGTGACACTTTCTGGGTTACTTAAGGGCAGACTACAGTCTAATCTTTCTCTACTCTGCTTCCCTCCACAGGTATCGCACCGGTCTGGTTATGGGTTAGTTTTCTTTGTTTAGGACGTTTGCATTTACAACACTTACACAGACGTAATTCATGCATACATCACACACACACACACACACACACACACACACACACACACACACACCACTGACTTTATGTATTCTCACAACCCCATCTGGTTTGGTCTGTAATTTCGTATAATTAAAGGGAATAAAGACAAGCTTTAATTTTTGAAACTTGGTGTGTCTCTCTTTTTGTTGCAGCCGTCCTGACCCAGGTCGTAACAATAGACATACATATATAGGCTTTAAACAAACGTATAAAGTTTTTAAACACCTCCATACCGGACCAATGTACAGCAGAACCTGAATCTGTCAGAGATGTTAGTAAATTTAACTCAGCTCTAAAAGTTCTTTACTTTTTTTTTTTTTTACTTTATCTCCCATCATTTTTGAGATTTGTGCATATTACAGGATTTTATCTTTACTCCTTTATTTAATTTTAACTCAATACTTTAATACTTTTACCACATTTCAGATGACTGTTGCATATAATCTCATAGTGTGATAACTGTATTTGTAAAGAAAGTGCTTAGTTACACTCCTAAATACAAGAAAACTAAAACGTATCCTTGGCATGGTTTACCTTTACAAATTATCTACACCTGATTTAATATTTTCTTGCCTTTTAAAGTTCAAAAACATGGTTGTTTCCAAAGTATTCCAGAGTATATCCTAAGATCCATTCATTCATACAGTGGGAGAAATGGTGCCCTCTAGTGGCCGCATACATAATCGACAAAACTCCATCATACAGTGGTTCTGTTCGGATGAACTATGTTCAGTCTGAGAGAAATATTTGTAATCTTTTTAAAGATCCCAAC